GCCGCTCCCGGGCGCGCCGGGCACAGGGAGGGCTCGGCGGAGCCCCGCTCAGCGCCGGCCCGGGGAAGGCCCCTCGGGGGCTCCGGCAGCCCCGGCGAGGCCCTGTCTACGCGGGCTCAGCTCCTCCGGGCACACAGCTCCGTCTCCGCGGGCGACACAATGCCTTGGCTGGGACCATGGCGTTGGAGCGCGGGTTGGACTAGATGTCACCTCCTGAGCTCCCTTCAGCCCTCCTTTTCTATGATTTCTGTGATTCGTCCCTGGAGTTCTCCTCCTGTCCGGCCTAAACCTGCCTTGCTGCAGCGTGCGCCCCCGCTGAGACCCGCCCAGCCCAGCGCCATCCTCTGCAGGGAGCTGGAGGCTGCTATTCAGCCCCTCGGTCTGCCCTTCTCCAGACTCAGTCGGCCCAGTTCCCTCAGCCGCTCCTTGCTGTTGTGTGTGAGATCCCATGTCGTAGGGCGGAGGCATAGATGTGGAGAATTGGAGGCATAGATTTTTTGTGGCGTGTTTTATTGGACCGACTACCTAGCTGGGAGAGCCACTGGACAAGCTTTTGGGCATCAGGTTTTCCAGCGGCCTGAAGAAGAGCACTTGACGCCTGCAGGGCCAGTCAGAGATCACACCTACTTGGGCAATCCACACCCATCCTCCTTCAGCCCACTTTACCAGCAAAGCACGGCTGCCGCCCACGGCCGGTCTGTTTGCTGCCCCAGGTACCCGCAGGCTGGTGGCAGACCACCAGCCAGGAAGCATCCCACGTGGGTCTTTGCCAGAGCGGTACTTAGCCACGTCAGGCTCAAGTCAAGCAGAAGGCCGGGGAGATTGTCACCAAACAGAGTATCTAAATGATATATGTATGGCACAGGCCTTCCAGGTGCACAGAAGGTGGTGCTATGTCTATACCAGTGTGTCAAATGTAGTTGATCTATAAGGTGCAAATCTACCTGGCTTTCTATGTGGGTTTCTGTCACGCACGGGTGCCTGAGGAGAAGCAAGTGAGCAGCGAGATTGATAGACATTAGCCCAATCATGAGGAAATGGGCTTGCTGTGGAAAAGGAGGCTTTTTCTTTTGCCTTGACAGTCTGACTGCTTCCCGCTGTCTTAGTCAGTGGAGTTTCCGTGTGTGCCATCGGCGTGGGGCTTGGCTAATAGCCGTGGTTGTGTCATTTGAGGAAAAAAACATGCCCTGCCTATGATGAACAGTCATTGTCTTTTTTGATTTCCTTGCAATGGTTTTCCTCTCCCACACTCTGCAGCCAGCCCTGCGTCCCAGGGAGTGTCTGATCTGTATGAAGTTCTGGGTCACTTCCAGCTCATGGACTCAGCAGTCTTGCATCACTGAGCTCCAGAGCTAGAAACAACTTCATGTCTAGAATTTCAGGGTTTTCCACTGGTGCTGCCAATGGGGAGAGGCTCTTCCCAGGGTGCGAAATCGGCTGTATCTGGAAGTCTTCCATTACCACGCTGACAGGGCGTGAGACGACCCTTGAGGTGTCTGCAGGCTCCGCTACCAGCGGAGGGCTGGTGTCCTGAGCCACGTGGCGCCAAAATGACAATTGTTCAGGTACCAATGGACTCTAGTGGGTGATCAGCCTCATGTCGATGCACGATGTGCAGTTCCTGCACACGGAAGAGAAGCGCTCCCCAGCTTTGCTTGTTTTAGGTTCGGGCACTGGAAACCATCGCCATGGCATGCGAGCACCCCTTACTTTAAGGTTGGGGCTGGTAAGCTCCTCTGTAGGCTTCATGCAGCCTTTGCCCTCCCTTCCCTGAGTTTTATGGGGCAGAGAGAAGGGCATTTGTGAACATCCCAGATTCATTACTTGCCTTCCGAACCCCACTCTGAGATCCCCCCGGTTGGGGGCATGAAGGTGAACCCCTCTGTTATCATGCATCACTTCAGTGACAGATTCAGTGGGTTGACTTATGCCACCTTGAGTCCTGCATAGTACAGTACCTACGACTGGGTGTAAGAATCAGCATACAAAAATTAAAACACCGTGTTATTCCACGCGGCTGCACAGGAGTAGAACACATAACAGATGTGGGTAAGGCTTCGGGGGAGAAAACACTCGTGAACGAAATGTGACGTCTGTGGTAATGCTCACCAACCTGTTCAGGCTAGAGGCCGCAGCCAGCAGTGTGCAAACACACAGAACAGTCCAAATCCCACGACATGCCTGGAAATGAAAACAGAGCAAGGGAACTCCTGTGGTCGACGGACAAACCGCACAAAAGCCCACATTTATACTGGCCATGTCCTGTGTGATCTGTTAGGCCAAGTGTTTTCGCCTCGTGGTCTGCAGACCCATCTATGTTTAAAGGGGTTGCAAAAGATGACTATGATTAATCAAAAGCATGTGAATACCCACAGTTACAATTCAAAGCGGTCCACACCGCCATTCAAATTTTTGTAGGGGTCTGCAAATGAAAAAAGGTTGAAAACCAGCGTGCTAGGCCTTCCGAGCTGTCAGCGTGGTCCTTTCTGATGTTTCTTGGAACTGCCTGTCAAAGCTCAGATCTACCTCTTCTGAAGCACAAGAGCTAAGGGCACACTTTCCCTAGCACGTCCTAATGCAGAGACGAACTTTACTGAGTAGGACTGTCTCATAAAATATGTCTGGAGAGAGTCTAGCCCAGCGGGGTCCCAATCCTGACTGGAGCCTCCTCTGAAACCTGTGCTAAGGAGAGTTGTTAACAGACGGCTGAGCTGTTCTGATTCCAGCCGGGAGAGGGCAATGGCACACGCAGGCACGGGGCATCACAGCACCGCCAAACTTCACAGGGCACTGACTTACAGGAAGCCACAGAAAGCCAGACATGGGTGTGCTGCGGTAAAATCGCTGTGACAAAACCTGTCAACAAACCAAAGTACCTTGAGATATAAGTCACGATGTGTCAGGCGTGTACAAACCACCGCCGTGGTGAAGTGAAGCCTGTCTGCAAACCACAAGACCAGGAAGGCTGAACTGCCTCCAAAGGTGGGTCGTGTGTTGTGTCGCACTACGTTACATAACTTGACATTGATATAAATAACACTTGTTCTTAGCCAAAAGGCCGAGAAGCGGTGCAAGATGATACCCAGTATACAGGGCTCTGACCAGTGCAGAGTTGGTCTATACTGGGCTGCATTGCCAGCCCACTGGGTGGGAATGTAACCCTGCAACCAAAGACCCAGTTACCCGTTTGTTTAAACATGTTGGTGCCTCCTTTGAGTGAGCCTGGCCCTGTGGCACCGCTCTGGAGCTGTCCTAGGTGGTTGTATTACTTTTTTCTAGACCTCTGGCCCCCAGCATGTGTTCGCCCCGCTCCAATGAAAACGTGACTGTGACTTATTATTCCAAATATCATGCCTGTTGCCTTGGTCTTATCTTGGTTTGATTGCTTGTCTTCACCTTTACCTCCTGTGTTTGGACTGCACATTCACAGGGGCAGAACCTCTTTTCTATTAGATGTGTGTACGACGCGGGGTGCAATGGGGTAAGATCAGGCCGGGAGCCCTGGGACGGTACAAGCGCTGGCGAAGGGTCGGCTCGTACCACGGGATCCGGGCTGTCGCGAGCAGACTTAGCACGTCGTTACAGCAGCGGTGAGAGTGCTGCGCCCGCTCGTCGGTGGAGCTCTCGACCCGGCGCCCTGCTTAATGAATAAACGCAGGGCCCGCTCTGGAGCTGCTGCCAAAAGCAAATACCTGAACGCGGAGGGAAGCCAGGCACGGGGCTTAGGAATCTACCAGCGAGGCAGGCCTGGAAAAATTAGAGCGCGCGTCAGAGAAACGCATCAATGACAACGATTAATGCCGGAGGAACGAATGCCACGACTGTCCTCCCAGCGCACCGTCCCAGGCCACGGCGACCGATCCCACTGTCCCAGTGCGCGGGATCCAAGTGACGGCACCCACGACACACGTGCCCGGGGACTGGCGCTGTCCTTTCATTGTGATATCTGCGTTGCAGGGGTCGCAGGCCAGGCCCCTCGCGCTGGGCTCTGCCCAGAGCCGGGCGGCCTCGCGCGTCAGGAGACGACGGGCCGCTGGCTCGCGACGAGTCGACAGCTCCGGCGGGTCACGATACCCATGGCCTCCCTGGGAGAGATGCCGACCCGGGGGCGGTCGCGCAGACGGGGCAGGGGAGCGACGGCGGCGAGAGCAGGCGGTCGGTGTGTCCACGCGGCAGCTCTTCCGCTGCTGCAGCCAGGTCCTCCTTCACGCGGCTCTCGCCAAGGAGGCGGCAGACCGGCACGCGCGCCACGCC